CTCTCTTTCTCTAGGCTTGCCTTCTCCGAATCATCCTTGAAATCCCACTTAATTTTCTCAAAATATCTCATATCCATTAGAATTTATTTCCAAAGTTTCTTTTTCTCTGGTAGCGCCTGTGTGAGAGGAGGACTATTGATATCGGTTCTTGATGAGTTAATGAGATCCTTCCACGTATGTGGGGAAGTTAAGATCAGAGGCTGAATGGAGCTCCAAACTAGTACCAAGGATTCTCTATAGAGGAGATTAAAAGAGAGAAGGTAGATTTGTTTATCACCCTATGGTAGCTTGAGTCCTAGAAGACTACTCCCTCCATCCCTTATTAGTAGTCTATTTTTCTTTTTTTACATGTCCCAAATTAGTTGTCCTCTTTGAAAAGTCCAAGCATCTTTTTATTATATTTTCATCATTGTCCTTTATCTTTTTAAAAAATTTCAAACTTTGGTATTATATATATTTAATGTTTGAAGGACAATTTAGTAATTTGGAAAGGGAACAATGCATTAATTGCATGTCCCCTTAAAAAGTTGTAAATCCAAAGATGGACAACTAATAAGGGACGGAGGTAGTATTATTTATGGTTATTGTTGTGGTGGTGTATATGTATTACAACCTCCTTTAAATGATGAAAGTTTAGTCTTATTTATACTACTTTTATTCGGGTAAGGACCCTTGGTTATGAGTGTTAGCCCCCTCTTTATTCAATATTGGTCACTCTGTCAGGCAAGACCCTTGGTCATGAGGGCTAGCTCCCTCTATCCAATGGTCACTTTACATGACCTCTGACATATGGGACATCTAGCCAGCTACCCAAGGCACGTCGTTGCCCTTTTCGAGGTGGTGATGATGATCTACATTAAATACGGGTCTTTTCAGTCAATCAATATATATTTAATATATTATGTGGTCTCTATTACTCGAGCTCAGCTATTGGGTATTAAACACTCTTCCCCTTGTGTAGACCTTGAGGTGAGGCGATTCCTTGGAACTTAGCCACCTAATCACTGATTCTCAAATTCCTACGAAGTAGGAGGAGAGAGGGGAATTACTTGGGACTTGCCTTCTTTAGTCCCAAGCTTCCACATTTCTTTTAAAGCTCTCGAGCTCCTATGCAGGGGGAGCTCGGGATGAACAACATAGATGATTTAGATATAAGCCCTATTTATAGGGAGGAGATTTTAGAGATAATGCATAGCGATACCCATCCAACTAGAGTGGGGTACTTCCATGGCAGCAAGAGAGTAAAGGGTAGCGACCCCCTCCTCTAAACAGTGTAGGCGCGTTGAAAGAAGCCATCCAAATGAAGCAGGGCTTCCCTCGTGAAGCCAAAAAGATAGAGCTCTTGCGTACGGTACATGATCTTTACAGTATGCAAATGTGGCCTTGCATTAATAATATTAAAATGACAGGTGGCATCTGAGGTAGAGCAATCATCAACAAAGACAATGACATATTAATACACACACACACACACACACACACACGAGTATATGTATAAGGGAATGATTCAAGGGAAGGGTATTGTTGCCCTTTTGATTTTATAAGTTAATGGTAATCTTGTAAATTTGTACTGGTCTAAAGATGTCATTTTAGACATCGAAAGGGCAAAATTGATCTTATATTAATTTTTTTGCTGACATCAAGTGAGTCACTGCTTAACGGCCGGAGCGATTTGTTATCCAAATCAAAACCTGGTAAGTAAAGTTTTGAAACGTAGAGGGGTGTGAATGGGATATTGGCAAAGGTCAGGAGGTGATGAAATTTACCGAACTTTTTTTAGTGTATAGCGGGTTGGATCCTAATGATTGAACAACAGCCCCAAAAGAACAACATAATTAAAATACATAATAGAAGTCAAAATGTTACTCTCTATCCCTCTCAACCACACATTCTGTTAAAGATGTCCAATTGGGATTTGGCCAAAGTTGCCAAACCTCTCAGTCTCTCTCTAGAAATCAATGGAGGGTTTTGGACTGAAAATAGTGAGCTTCTTCCAATCGGGTTGCACAATGGTACCCGATTCGAAAGGACAAGCATAGGTAGTTCAGGCTGTGGTCCAACCTGACCGTTGTCTTAGCCCCTTTCACGGAGTGTTTTGCTCAATGCATGATTCTTTACTATGACCCACATGTGGATGATTACCTAATGCCCCTGGGTTTAGAGTCTTGATACTAGGGTCCCTCACTTTGGTTATACCCAAGCCCTTATCTACCTTGATCCTCAAGTGAATTTTCTCCTCTCTACTCTAATCTGTTGTTGGATTTTTGCTTTTTGTTAGAAGTTTTCTTGTCTATTTAATTGAAGTTTGGAAGGTATATCATGTTTGGGGTCATTTTGATTTTGGTCACACTCACGAGGGTTGAACTTCTTATATAATGTCTCAATATATGGTATGATGCAAGTTGGGTATAGGCAAAAATCAGTTATTTTGAATTGGGAGAAATAGAATGAACAAGACCAACTACTACTTATTATTATTATTATTATTTTTAATTAGAAATGATTTAAAACATAATGGAATAAGAGAATAACAATGTTATTTAGACCTATTTCACATTGATGTGTGTAATAGGAGGGTATTATCCCTACAGTGAATAAACTCGAGTATGAGTCTTATCCATTGCATTTAAGGGATAAAAAACTTCATTGGCTATCCATAAAAGAATTCTCTTGATGTATCTCATTCATACGAAAAACGTGATGAAACCCGTTCATATGGAATTACATTTCATTTTTCAAATTAATATCTATCGGTCCATCACATCACTTGTTATCTAATGTGATTTAACCTTGTAAAAAGTATTTATAAGATTTTTTACGCGTTGCAAATATTTATTTTTCTTGTAGTGTTATAAAAACTCTTCTAAAATTAAGTATTTTTTTTAAAAAAAAAAAAAAAAAAAAACTCTTTATTAGGGATTGCTTGTAATATAGACATTGGTATTCATTTCATATATTTTGTATCCACTATAATTTTCCCTTAAAAAAATTTATTTTTACAAGTGTAGTTCGACTGTAATATTTATTTTTAAATATACTTTATATTAGTTTTCAATTTTAGATAAACATATTTTATTAGTTTTCATATATCATAAAATCCTTGATTTGTAATTTGAAGTTTCATAAAAACTACAAATTAATACTTTTATTTATTTTGATTTGATTTTCAGTGTTAGGTTTTATACCATGAAACCCTAATACAAGATAAAATCTTTAGTGCAGCTCCCATTTGTAAAGTCATATTATCTCTCATTCTCACCCTGCCAATAGAATAAATAAATAAATAACTTTATTATTATTTACTTCAAACCTTAATCTCACTAGCCCAAGTTTCTCCACTACTCCAACTTAATGCTGACTAGGGCAACCATACACCCCTAGCTTACAAATCACACCGGCCTTTTACCTTATATGTACACAAACATCATAAGTATCTACACTCTACAAAATTCTATACCATTCTAAAATCTTTTTTTTACGTCCTACCCATATCTAAAACTCTTTGACATTCTAGAATTTTTTTAACTCTTTCCGACATTTCACAATCCTCTCCACTCTATTTATGTCATGCAATCCTCTTCAATATTGATCGATGATGTAACCTCAATGCAAACTTGCGGTGCATCGCATTTAATTGTCATGCGAAAAAGGATCAATTTATTAATCTCCATCGATCATAGAACGATCAAATGAACTTCTAAACGCATTCAGAAGTGAAAGGACAACGCGGAAGGCAAAGGCAAAAATTTTACATTTCATCAACCATCCCAATTTTCTAATAGTGGGCAATGCCGAATAACCCATCCCAATTTGAAGTGGCAATGGCGAAGGCAAAGGCAAAAATGTCATTTATTAAATTTTGAAAAAAAAAAATTACCATTTATTGTTGGAATATTTTGAAGCACAACAATAAAAATAAAGTGACATTCACTTTGTGCCAATCAGTAAGGAAAAAATAAGTTAAAGAAACACCAACCGAAAAATGATCGAGTGGAATCCACATTGATGACAATGAGTCTGTTGTTTACTAGCTCAAACTCATCTACTCCATCAAGTAATGCAACGATGACACCGACTTATGTTGAAGGATTGGCACGTACACAACGGCTAAGATAATTCACCCGATGTTGAAGAATGTCAACCATTACATGGACCACAAGGATGAAAAATGGCAAAGTAGAGACGGAATAAGGATAAATTTTGCGTCAATTACAAATTTATTCATGAGCAAATTCGATGATGCAACAACCCATTATCAGTCTCAATCTCAAAGTCTTGCGGTCGCCCAAATAGTATGAGAGGCATACTTAGCAGAGAAAGAGAAGACCAGACAAATGGAGCTTTACAACAAAAAAAGAGCTTAATAGATATCGATCATGCAAATAGAACCAAAATCAATGCAAACACCATCAAGGAAATCATAGCCTATTGAACGACATAATGAGATATTAAAATGTATATATTTACACTCTAAATCAAGCTTCCCGTAAGATTAGTTCATGCTTCCCATATGATTTTATAATCCTTAGGATATTTAATTTCTTAATTCATAATGGATATTGTATTATTTAATTATTTTTTAAATCTGTATCGTATTGTTTTAATTTCTTTTAATCCATAATGGGTATTGTAATATTTAATTTCTTTTTAATATAGCTATTTTAAATATAGCTATTGGGAAAAAGTAAAAAACAAAAATATTAAATATTAAAATATTATTATTTTAAGAACCAAATCGTATCATTTGAGTAAATGCAATAGCTAAAATTTGAATTTTAAAAATGTTAACGCTTAGAATCTAAAGAGCTAAAGTTTAGATATGTCATTTGAGTTGGCTCTTACTTCATCTTTGTTTGTTCTTACTTCTATAAGTTGCTATATATACACATTGTTTAACCATTAGAGAAAAAAAAAAATTGAAACAAATCAAAGTGTGTATATTATAGAGAGTAATTTAACTCATTTTTCTGCATTTTCCAAACAAATACCATCCAAAATAACTAGAAAACAACACTTCTTAATGTAACAGCATGGCTTCTGCTTCTTGGGAACAACAAATCTGCCTTCACCCCAAAATTGAAGTCTTCACCAAAATCACAAGGCCTGTCCTCATCAATCCTACCCATCCCAACACTGCAGCTCCTCGGCACCACCGTTATATTCGGTGGTGCCGGCTGCCTCATCTGTCTCTGCGTAAATTTATCCATATCAACCCTATCCCCCATACTCTTTGTAGAGGTAGCTCTGATGAGCTCTCTGAGATCCTCACTGTCGTTGGACCTCGACGAGCTGACACTGAAGCTCTTGGGCAAGGAGGAAACTTGCGCGGCTGGACCGCCTACCATGTTGCCGTAGCTGATCTTTTCAGCACAATCTGTCAAGCTTCGGACGTAAACATCCTTTGCTTTTCTCAAAACCCTTCTGGGAATTGTAATGAAGCGCATGAACTTGTTTTCGTTGTTTGCTTTGCTTCTCATATTTCCACTTGTGTAGAGAGAGAGAGTGTGAGAGAGAGAGTTTTGGTTTGGAATGGAGATGGTGTGGGACTGTGAGGGGGTTTTATAGAGTTGACAAAGAAGCTGAATTATTTAATTGAGCACAAGTTTGAACAATTAAAATGTGGGTTTAGACTTATTCAAATTAAGCACACCATATCAGAAAAAACATAAGATATGTATATATATATATATATATGATCAAACTGTGTGATATAGAGTGTAGTGTATTAGCATTGTTAATTACTACTGATTTGTTATAAGATAGTAGGCCAAAAAATCGTTTTCAACGTTTGACTTTCTTTATTAGTAGTTGTTACTATGTCTATGAACATTCAAAACCATGTGCCTACGAGGAAACACCTCATTCTCTTAAAAAGAAAATAATAATAATAATAATAACAATAATAAAAAATAACTGGCTATAAATCTTTGCTTAATCGTTCGAAATAAATAAATAGCTAGCCATAAATGAACTCTAACTCTTAATTATTTAAATGTTTGGTTGATCAATGGATCCATTCATTAAATTTTGACTTTTCATAGCAAGTACAAGAAAAACCTCTAAACCATGAAAACTTTCTCAATAAATAAACATTTCATGTGTTTTTTGTTGGAAAAAATTATGAAAAAACTAGGTGATTGCGGAAAGTAAATTTTTTTTTTTTTTTTCCTGCTAACCAACCTTATAAATTATTGAATTTTTTTTTTTTTTTCATTTTTTACTATTTTCATTTAACCAAACTAAGCGGGAATTTAGAATTGGAAAAGGAAAAAGAATTAAATTGGACTCTATTACCCAAGTCCAACCGAACCCAAGAAGTCATACTTGTAGCTTTTACTCAGATTCGAGTTGGGTTCAGAGAGTGGACTTTATTAACCAAGTCGAACCCAACCCAACCCAAGAAGCATACATGTAACTTTTTTTAGTATGGGCTGGGCCTATTGAACAACAGCCCAAAAAGAACAACATAAAATTCATAATAGAAGTCAAACCGGTTACTCTCAGTCCTCTCAACCACACATTCTTCTGTTCAAGATGTCCAATGATTTGGCCGAAGTTGCCAAACCTCTCTTTCTCTCTCTAGAAATCCAATGGGGGGTTTTGGAAGGAAAAGAGTGAGCTTCTACCAAGTGGTGGTGGTTATGGTGGTCTCAATGGCTGTGATGTTGTACACGTGTCAGGCGAGCATCAACCTCCACCCTCTGATCTTGGTGCCCGGAAGTGGCGGGAACCAGCTAGAGGCTCGCCTAACTGACGGTTACAAGCCCCCGAGCGGGTTGTGCAGCCGGTGGTACCCGATTCGGAAGGACAGGCACGGGTGGTTCAGGCTGTGGTTCGACCCGACCGTCCTCTTAGCCCCTTTCACGGAGTGTTTTGCTCAACGTATGACGCTTTACTATGACCCAGATGTGGATGATTACCGAAATGCCCCCGGGGTTGAGACTAGGGTCCCTCACTTTGGTTCCACCCAAGCCCTTCTCTACCTTGATCCTCATCTCAAGTGAGTGTGCGCCTCTTTTTTACTCTCATCTGTTGTTGGGTTTTTGCTTTTTGTTAGGGGTTTTCTTGTCCATTTAATTTAAGTTTGGAATATATGGCATGTTTGGGTCACTTGATTTTGGTCACACTTGCAATGTTTAGTGTTAAATGGACTTCTTAAATAATGTCTCAACATATAGCATGACGAAAGTTGGGTTTATGCAAAAATCAGTTATTTTGAAAATGGCCAACTACTCAACAAATGTTGTTACTTTTTTAAAATTAGAAATGATTTAAAAAATAATGAAATAAAAGAAGAACAATGCTAATTTGTACATATTTCTCTAGTCAATGTGGGTAGCTGAAGGGATTTTATCCCTTTGATGCAATGAATAGAATCGTGTATGAGTCTCATCCATTGCATCAAAGGTATAAAACATCTTTCGGCTATCTATCTCGGTTTAAGAATCATTTTATATAAGATTGTGTTAAGTTGCATGAAATTAGAGTTTTAAAATTGGAATTGGTGTTGAGAAAAATAATTAAGAAAATTGAACCAAAATTTTCTCTAATTTTACAAATTTCATTTACAAGGCTCCAATTTTATACAGCCGAATATTAAGAAAATTCTCTTATGAATTCCATTCATATGAACATGATATGAATTAACACAAAGACCGTAATACACGGACGGATATGTCTATTCCCATGTTAATCAAAAGTAGGTATAGACTTGTAGAGTCTACTCAAAATTTATAGTTTTATAGTATCTCTTTTGTTAAATATGAAGATTCAAGTCGAGTAAATGGGTGCGTGAATTTCTTAACCAAGAGAAAAAAAACTTGTTTTTTACCATATGACTACTCATAAAACTCTAACTACGTTCTTATGCTTTAGCATTTTACCCTTGTTTGCTAATTAAAGTGGGATACAATAACTTAAAAAATCTTTGAGATTGATAGACAATGTTCTTGTTTGAAATGGAGACACCAAAAGTATTATCTTGTTTATAAAATTGTTGAACATATTTTAGAAAACATATGTACACATTTTGTTCCTTTTGTAGAAGTTCAAAATGTTTCTGAGTAAACATAATCAAAGAAAATTAAATCCTTAAAATTTGTCATTAATAACTTTAATGTCTTAAAGATTGGACCATACACGGAATGAATTTTCAATATGGTGTGCTACATTGCATTTATGTGTTTCTGCTTGGCTAGAGTTTACATAATAAAATGTCAACCCAACACCATGATTTTACAATCCGAGCCAAGACAAAAAGCAGGTTGCTTTGGGATTAAACTGTCTTAAACATATACTCCTGGCTACTGTATTCAACCCAATATAATGTAATGTGAGGGTGGGCCTTGATGCAACATTAAAGTTGCTCCCGTGAATTAAGAAAACAGTGTTTCTGGGGAAGTAAGAATGCGTACGTCTAATCCTCCTCAGACTCCGCAATGACGAGAGCCTCGTGCACTGAGATAGCCCTTTTTATCATGTAATGTGGTGGTTGAAGTATGTTTCGTGTATGACTTTAGTATTTGGCAATAACTAAAAGAACTTGGGGGAACATTTACTTTGGTCTAACAGAAGTTCCATTGACAGGCACATTACATCATACATGGAACCCCTGGTGAAATCTCTGGAACAGATTGGCTATGTGGATGGTGAAACCCTCTTTGGAGCTCCCTACGATTTCCGGTATGGTTTGGCAGCAGAAGGTCACCCATCACATGTCGGTTCCAAGTTCCTCCAAGACCTAAAACAACTAATAGAAGAAGCCAGCACTTCAAATGGAGGCAAGCCAGTAATCCTTGTGTCCCACAGCTTAGGAGGCCTATTTGTCCTCCAACTCCTCAATCGAAACCCGCCCTCTTGGCGCCAAAAATTCATCAAACACTTCATTGCACTTTCAGCACCATGGGGCGGCTCAGTGCAGGAAATGCTCACTTTTGCTTCCGGCTACTCACTGGGAGTGCCACTAGTTGATCCATTGCTAGTAAGAGATGAGCAGAGGAGCTCAGAGAGCAACCTATGGCTCATGCCTTCTCCTACACTTTTTGGTCCTAGCAAACCTCTTGTAATCACACCAAATGCTACCTACTCTGCACACAATGTCGCGAAATTTCTCAATGACATAGGATTTGAACAAGGGATTCAACCTTACAAGACTCGGATTTTGCCTTTGGTTGAACGTTTGGCAGCGCCAGAAGTGCCTCTTACGTGTATAATTGGCACCGGTGTTGAAACACCGGAGACATTGTTCTATGGAGACAGTGGTTTTGATCAGCAGCCAGAGGTTGTCAATGGAGATGGCGATGGCACGGTGAACATGGTGAGCTTGTTGGCACTTGAATCGCAGTGGGCGAACGAGAAGAATCAAACCCTTAAAGTGATTAAAATTGATGGGGTCTCTCATACATCCATACTCAAAGATGATGCTGCACTGAGTGAAATAGTTGGAGAACTTTGCTATATAAATTCTGGTTGCACCAGTTCGTTGGTATCAGTTGCCTAACAAAGTAGAGGAAGTACATTATTTCTTGTAAAATGATATTCCTATTTTAAGCTGCTTATTTTCATACTCGTAATCCTCTTCTGTACACTTTAGGTTCGGTACCATCCTGTATTTTTTACATTGAGAAAATGACAAGATACATTTTGAGTTCGGTACCATCCTGTACATTTTATATTGAAAAAATGACATATCATGTCGAAAATGTAACATGGATTCATTTCATTTACTTCTTCGGTGTGACATAATACATTAAATTGCAATACAACATCACCATAATCTAATCATCTTAGTGTCAAATGTCAAAAGCCAGAGCCATAGCAAACGCATTAATATTAAAACTTGAATTTGATAAACCGCAAATATCACCTGAATTCAATTTTAATAAAACAATACAAATAAATATCTCCAATCAAATATTAATCGTGACTATATAACATTTTCGTTGTATTGTATTTTCAATGTAATATTGTTATGTAAGATGACATTTACTAGATTCACTAAGGATTAAGAACCTAAATATATGCACCAGCTAGACATGAGTCATGACTAGTGCTATTTTTAATTACGATGTATTTTATCCATTTACAGATTATTAAAATAAGGACACGTTTGGCGAGGCACAAAGACAAAATCCAACAAAGCAAATAATCATCATATCGCCAATCAATCAATCAGGCTTTTCCACATAATAATAAATCATCTTCTCCTCCTAAACCTCGAATGTTGATCCGTGAATCAGCGCTCTGAAATTCAAACTGATCCAAACATGTCATGGTTCGCTCGCACTATAGCCAACTCTCTCCGAATCGACGACGATGACGAAGACGATGATCACACCACACCAAACCCTAAGCAATCCCAATTTCAACAACGGCACCAACAGGAACTCGAAGAACAAGACGACGGTGAAGATGAAGATCGAATCGACAGTCATGGACGTGGTGTCAAAGAAGACCTCTCGGAATTCAAACAAACCCTAACTCGCCAACTTTGGGGCGTCGCCTCTTTCCTCGCTCCACCAGCAGGCCCTCCACCTCCTCCTCCTCCTCCTCCGTCGCCAACCTCTTATCGCCACACTCATCGCTCCGTCTCCGATCGGAGTCGATGGGAATCGTACGATCGTTCCGGTTCCGGCGATGTATCGGATGAGGACGGATTGGAATCAGAAACTTGCACTGATTTCGACGAGAGGATTAGATCCGGAATGTATGATCTGTCGAATGACAATGCGGTGCCGGAGTTTTCGCGAGGAGTGTCGGAGGATGGGATTGAGGCAGCCGTCGGTGTTACGGATGAGGTGTTGGCTTTCGCGATGAATATCGCGCATCATCCCGAGACGTGGTTGGATTTTCCTTCGTTCGAGGAAGAAGGCATGGATGGTATGTCACAGTCTTTTTACTTTTTAGTTATTAAATACAATACAGTTTTGAACACTTTATGAGTTGATAATTGTTTAATTGAAAATGAAGAATTGAAAAGAATACATTGTGCGCTCTAGATTGTGTGGATATTGCATCTAAATTGAAGCAATTAATTGATCCTTGTGTTGTTATTTGGTTTTGAATTAGGCAAAACCTACACCATTGTACTTCATTCAAGTATTATTGTGTTCTCTTCTGCTTCTGCAGATTATGTGTGACACAGTGTCATATTTGTTTCATTTGAATTTATTTGAACATCGTGAGCCAATAGAATTGCAAAGCTTTAGTATTGCTTACTAATGACATGTAGGATCCAAACTTCTTTTTAGTAATCATGTAATTTCTTTCTTCCCAAATGTAGGGTATCTGAATTTCATATAAACTCTCGTACATTTTTCTCTCTTTGAATTTTGCAAAGGCTTGTTTTAGTTTTCTTTATCTACTAGAGGCAGCACCTAGGCATTTGGACCTATTTGGATTACGGTTGCAAATGAACTGACCCGAGAGGTGCTTTGGGATGTTCTTGCTCAGTTCTAGCTCACCAATTCTAGAGAGGTGGTGGAACTCCACTCTTTTGATTGATCAAGCCTGGTGTTGCCAAGATCGAGCTCAGCTTGGCAGTATTTTAGCAAAATTGAGATTGGCTTAACTGAGATCGTTTACACGTAGTATACAATTTGTATACATGGTTGAAGAAAACGTCATCGATTTCCACCTGAATTTCGATCTTCACCTTAATGTTCAATCTACACAACTTCACACAATCTAAAGCACTCCTGATTCCATCATCAATGCCAATAATGCGAGAACTAAAAAAGGTGAGACTTGATAAAAGAGAAATATGACACGGAGAGAGAAGAGAGTTATAATTGTTCGGCAATCATGTAGTCTCAAGCTTTCAGTCATGATGGAGTGCGCCAGGGTTGCAGTCCTGGCGAGTGGTTTTCTGGTTTGCTGTTGTGGCCATTGGGATTGCCGCTGCTTGCTTTTGAGGAGGTGTGGTGGCTGGGATTAAGGAGATGATATGAGGGTGAGAAAGTGAAGATGGGCTTGGGAATGCTACATGTGCTTGAGCTATTTTGTTATTAGGTGGAATGAAATAATGAAATAGATTGGGCTGGGTTGCGCTACATTTTTTACTCAAAATGAAACTAAATAGCCCTAAATGTATAAAGTTATGTGTATTCACAAAATCAAAATGAGTCAGTTAACTAGGAAAAAAAACAAAAAAAAAAACCGAGTCAGTTGACAAGCATGGTCACGAACGCATTTATGAACATAACGAGCCGAGTTGGGAGTTGTTTAACTCAGCTTGCTTAATAAGTGAGCTTGGAATTTTTTTGTTGCTCGGTTCGATGAAGTTTGATTTCTTCTTTGTTGTTAGTAAACGAATTAAACTCGACAAAATTCTCTAGCTCGATTATTAAGCGAACCGAGCCTGAGTTGTTTTGTTGCACTCTTAGTTTTGAGCATGCTGCTTCTGATCTGACACTGTCTCCCATCATTAGTAGTTTGTTTTTTTACCATCATTACATTCATAGGTATGGGAGGAAACATAATTGAGGATATTTAAGTGGATGTCAAAGTTATTGGAGGCTTGAGATCACTATTTTGGTGGCTCTTTAATTCTCTTGCACCACTTAACTTCAAAGGATTTGCAATTAGGATTTTCATAGGAATTCCCTTTGCTTGTAGTTTATTTTCTTATAACAAATTTGTACTTTAGTCTTTACCTTTCCAATAACTATTTCAAATATCAGCACTTTGGGCTGTCAGCATTGTTGCTTTGCTGTTACATATTAGATATACTATTCACCATCAGATATTCCAACTCTAAAACCCTTGGTATAAATAAATAAACCATTGTAAGAGTAGCAACTCCTCAGGATATACCCTTACCCTCTTCTCGAATTGGAAAACCCTGTTATACTGCTTAGGGAAAAGGAAAAAAAAAAATGCTGTTACACCTGACCATGAGAACCCCTGCGCCCTTCTTTTGTTGTAGCATGAGACAAAGAATATGTTTAGTTCATGGAAGTTCATTATTAATAGAAGGATACAATTGTTTTATGCTTCTTCTTTTTTTGAGAAAACATGTTTTATTAGCTGTTTAGCTTTCTTTTCTTGGTAAAATTGTATATCCAATACATATAATTAAAAGGTTAAATTCTTTTTTTCCCAGGGAGTCGGGTTGGATGTCTTTAACATCCTGGTGAATCATGAATGTAATTACTAAGAAATGAGGTGTTGTGCTGTACACAAACTTTAAATGTGACAATATTGGTGGATAAAACTTTGGTAGTTTAGTTGCTTTATTAAATACATTGCTTAATTTCGGGTTTTGCACCTTTCTTTTCTTTGTTTTCAGATTTTGATATCTCTGATGCCCAAAACAAGCATGCACTGGCTGTTGAACGGCTAGCACCAAGATTAGCTGCTCTCAGAATTGAACTTTGTCCTGCTCATATGAGTGACGCTTACTTTTGGAAGGTGTACTTTGTTCTTTTGCATTCAAGACTCAACAAGCATGATGCTGACCTTTTGTCAACACCCCAGGTAAGTTCAGTGAGGGGTAACTATTGTTTTGCTTTTTACTTGGCTATATAATGGCATTTTAAACACACCACTAGTTGATTGGTTTCATTGCTGATTTGTGTACTTCTTGATGCCAGTGTATTTCAACTATAAACCACACTTCTATCACCACAACATAGTATCAAAATTTATTTCCACACTGCTTTGTAAAGCAAAATGAGGTCCACTGCCCACACTTGAATATGAGGTTCAGTTTCTCAAACATTCTGCAAGCATTAAAAAAAAAAACCTTTAAAAAAAAAAAAAAAAGGTCAAGAGTCAAGTGAGATTTAAGTTTATAAAATTATGCGCGCAACAAAAATAGAAGTTTAAAAATTCTTTAGAAAAAGGTTCACTAATATGGTTATAAAAAAGTTTGAAGTGCTAAAATTGCAAATTAGGTACCGCTATTATCCACATTGCTAGGATTTAATAACTTAAGAACGGTTGCCAACTTCCACCCAGAGTGGAATCTGCTAACTACAAAACCGGAATTAATCTGTCAAACATTACACATTTTGTAGTCTGTTTCGCATGGCAAAGGGGGCATTTCTTTGAAATGTTCTTTCTATTTTTTTCCCCCCCCCTTTCAAATTGCCTTGGATTTGGAATTCATGGCTTGTCATCTAAAGATAACTGTTCCACTATACATATCAACGGTAGAAAGAATTGGTGGCATCGCTATTTTATAGTTATACTATTATTGTGTCTATTCTTCCAAATAAGATGCCAATTGAACAGCAGGGAAGGAGAAAGATACTGGCTAAGCCATTTGGAATGGGCCAAATGTCCTGTCTAAGGTCGTTTTAGAACTAGTCTTATGTCCAAGTAGATACAATTCTTGCATCAGTAGGATGGTTGAAGCTGTTTTCACTTTTCAGAAATATGATGTAGGCCAACAGAAGTATCGAAAGACCCATGGACCGCCATGGTCAAATGGGCCACTATAAGAGGCATTTGTGTGATCTGTACTTGAGAGAGATATTTTAAACCTATCTTACACCACGACCAGCTGAATAGCTTATTTGCCAACATAATTGACAATGAATAAAACTAGTTGATAGTCAAAATTAAAATGTGTTGAGATAGTAATGGAAGATATAATTGTGAAAGGTTTAACAGAATTATGGCCTTAGAGCAGAACAGGGAAACATGATTTATGTAGCCGATACCACATCGTTAGAATAAGAATTTGTGGTAACTATTGCATTGCAGATAGTAGAAGCAAGAACAATGTGGATGCAAGAGCTACAAAAGCGGAAAAAGGTAGAATCAGATTGGTTTGGAAGAAGCACTTCTTACTCGAAAGAGAGCCCTCAATCATGGCAGGATGATTTTGGTCCTCCTTCATCTGATGATACTCCTAGAAACATGTCACACGGGGCATTTACTTTTGAACCTTCAACGTACTCTGCTACAACAGAATTTGAGACTGATAAACACCCCGTTGTAACTAGTGAGATCCAGATCATTGACAAGTCTGTTATTGAAGAAGAGCCGGTGATCAAGACCCGAGTTAAGGATTTTGTGGCTGGTCCATCCCTTGTACCAGCGCAGAAATATGACGAGGACGATGACTGGCTAGAGGACAATTCAGAATTAGACGGGTACAGTGGAGCTGCATTTGTGGGTGATGGTGAAGATGTGTCATTCAGTGATCTCGAGGATGATGCTGATTCTAGTGTACCTATAAAATCCAAGATAGGGTTAAAAGGTTTAGATAAGTCGACCAGACTCTCATGATTTTGGCTTCAGCTGAGCATCAGCCTTTCTGATTCTGAGGATTCACGGTGTCAACGTGTCATTAAATGAGAACACCGGGATCGATCAACTTTCCCAGCATGGATGCTGTCTGGTTCAAGCACGTGGTGATACATATGAGCTTTTTTAAGGGATGAATTGGCAGTCAAGTTTCCGAAGAAGAATGTTCTCTTAATGATCATGCAAGCATTGTAATGCACTGAGCAGGTTTGCACTTCATGTGTTTGTGTTTGAAGCAACCCCTCACTGTCAAGAACATGAAAGCTTTTACAAGGCGAGAATGATTTATTGTGGATTAGTACCGAGATTTTTTCATTCTTATTGAAGTTTATGATTATGGTCTCTCCTGTAGAGAGCGCAAGAGCTGAATACAAGGGACTGTTTTCTTCTTTTTTTTACAAAATTGAGGATGATATTGTCTTGCAATTTTTTTTTTTTTTTTTTTTTTGCTAGAGAAGCATGAGACAGAGATTCTGTATGTAAAACATATTTGAGTAAGATTGATGATCCAAATTCATTAAGGCTCCACGTAAAAAAATATTTTTTTATTTTCTGGTGTTTGGTTATCTTAAAATATTTAAGAAAAAAAATATATATATTAATATTTAACAAAAATAATTTATCCATAAATTATTGGTAAATTATTTTACATGTTCCGTAAAGACTTAATACCAATAAAGTAAAAATAAAAGAATATTTTATATGAAAAAGAAAGATATGTTTTAAAAAGAATATTTTACGTCCAAACAAACAAAGCCTAAGAGTGTTGTTCTTACTATGAATCGTGACAATCAAATTTTACATTACGCCAACTCGAAGTGTAGAAACTAATTGAACCTTTTGTGTCCTATAAATGTATGACTTTTTTTATTTAAAAACGACCGGCCCCTTGGAATTATGACGGCATTGTAAACTGTAGATTTTATAACTTTCTTAAATCACACGTATTATTATTTAAACTGTGAGTGGTTTTTGCTTAGAATGTTTGATTTTGTAAACTCAAGTGCATAGTATAATCAAAAGGAAGGAATTCAAGTTCAGACATTTGTGGGTGTGCAAGTATTTACCTAATAAATAAATAAATAATTATTAAATGCCATCTTCAGCGTACACCAGGATGTAGACTTGGCAGTCGTAATTTGACAGAGACAAATAAAATGAGAATGTGTAGAAAATATGTTAAAAACTAGGTATAAGATTTTTTTTTTTTTTTTTAGTTAAAAAACTTGGTATAAGATTTGCTGCAGCCTGTTGTACATTTATTAACAAGAACACAACATGACTATATACATATCCACGAAAAATGAATGCTTAGCACTTGACAGTCTCAAACTCAGGCATCCATTTGTCTTGTACATATCTCGAATCATCAACATTTCTTTTGCAACGTGGAAGAGATACCTATAGTCTTAATGATAAGTATCTTCTTTACCGGTATTGTAATATTACATCTCAACATAATATGTAAGTGTTGCATCCTCAATATAGAGTATTGCATTATCGATTTAAACCATATGAAACCGTTAATTGCACCAGAGAAGATTTTGATTTTGTGATTCTTTTTAATGTATATGAAAATTATTATTTCTTTTCTATTTGTAGGTATCGTTTAGTACCAACACATGACGCGTTGAAAAGCCAAAAGAGGCCATGGCACTCGGTCACAAAGCACGAAAGCACACACTTGTCCCTTGAAAAGGCAACAAAGCAAAGCTTAAGACCTTACCACATCACTAAGGTAAAAACCCTAAGGTCATCAAAATCTTAAAAACAAAAACAAAACCCTCGCACTACACTACGCCAAGTCACCAAGCCTCAAGAGCAGAATCTTCCAAGTCCAACCCCAACAAAAACCCTAGTAACATACTTAGGTCACCAAACCTTGAAAATACAATTTAAAATAATCAAAATAATAATAATAATAATTCAAAATAATAATAATCATAATAATAATAATAATAATAATTCTTGAGTACAAACTAAATCCTAGCAAAATGTTAAGTCGCCAAAACCTCGAAATTTAGAAGAACAATGACTTCCTACTGTAAATTAAAGGTAGTTTACTGAATTTGCATGTACACAAACACTTGTACTTTCACTTTCTCGTCCCTCACATTTGTGTTTTGGTATCTCTTTTTTCATATATATATATATATATATATATATATACACACACACTTAAATGTATATGAAAATTAAATGACCTAATATTGTGGATATTAAATTTAGAGAGTACGGAGTATTTATTTATGGTTAAGTGTGAACAGCATTGTATAGCTGTAAGTTTTTACTCTCCCATGTGGCACGTGCCGCATTCATGATTCATCGTCTTAAAAATATCTGTCTGGAATCTGGCTGGATATTTGGAATCTTCAGTTCAAACTGTTACCAATTTGCAAACACTACTCTCTCTCTCTCTCACAGCGACACACACAGATTCATCCCTCCCAGTCTCAGCATTCCCTTGTTCTCTGCCTTCTCTCTATCTCGGTATATAAATATAGGTGCAATTTGTATACACACACCTTTATATCGTAGCTTGAACAAATTATACCAATCTCTGTTATTTCTCAGTAACAAGAAACGAATTGTTTATTTCTCACTACATTACATGGATCTTCAACTCCTGAAGAAGAGTTTCAATTTCTGTAATAGAAAGAAGAAACTGCTCATTCTACTTTCCCTCTTTGGTTTCTCAAGCTATGGTGTGTACAAGGTCTATCACTTGCCCTCTGTGTCCAGGAAGAGGAAGAGGTTTGTGAAGCTCTTAAAAACCCTAATTTCAGTAGCAGAAATGGGTTCCGATTCCGCCCACGCCACCGTCTTTGCAGACTTGAAGGAGTTTCTGCAATCTGATTGTGACCAAATCCCTAATAGTTTGAAGCAATTGTCGAAAATCACCAAGTCTGATGAATTTTCAGAGACATTAATTAGGGTTACAGAGGTTTTCACTGTTGGGGTTTTGAGGGGTTACAGATTGAATTCAAGGAATGAAATTGAAGAGTTAGATCATTCTAGTTTGTTTGATAGATTTATGGATAAACTTGTGTCTACAGCTGGGACTGGATTTGTTTCTGTGATTGTTGGGAGCTTTGCTCGGAATTTGGTTTTAGGGTTTTACTCAAATGCCCAATTGAATGTAGGGTTTAATGGAGACAACCCAGTTGGTGAATCTAAAATTGGGTCAAATTCTTGTACTTTGCCCAGATGGGTGAATGTGGTGTGCAGTGACAAATGTAGAGTAGTTATAGCTGATTGCATTCAGATGTTTGTGAAAACAGCAGTTGCTGTTTATCTTGACAAAACTGTGGATAACAATTTTTATGATGAGATTTTTTCTTGGATGACTAATCCTAAGCACCAAACTAAAGCGAGAGACATTCTTGTTTCCATTTGTAATGGAGCAGTGGAAACACTTGTGAGAACATCCCACCAAGTGTTGGCAGCCTCGAATTCCGATTCGGACTTAATTTCAAGCTCTTGTTGTTCCATTGTTGATCAGAAGGAAACTTCAAGTAGAGTGAGAGATGGGTTCTCTGAGCAAAGTGCATCTTTCGCAAATGGGATTCAGTACTCTGGGTGGATGAGTACCGTTTCATCTACATTGGCTGTCCCGAGCAATAGGAGGTTTGTGCTTGATGTGACAGGAAGGGTAACATTTGAATCAGTAAGATCTCTTCTGGTGTTCTTGTTGTGGAAGCTGTCAGATGGTTTAAAGAGAAGTCTGAATGCAGTTCATGAAGAGGTTGTGGAAAGGGGACTGCAGGTTATCAGATATGTTGGTGCTAAGACTTTTTTTATTATTGCCATATGCCTTGCCTTGTATTTACATGTCTTGGGTAGTACTTGGGCTTTGTTGCCTGCTTAAATTGATGTGTTTCTTTCCCCCAAAAAACCATTAATGTAGTGGTGGTGTATACTGTAATACTGTATAGAAATCTTGTCAACATTGCTTCTTATCATGAGGACATATGCGTATATCTTTGTTGCTCTTCATTGGAATGAAAAAACAGGACATTAATTTTCTTCCTGAATGATTATTTTAGCTTCTGGAAATACATTGCTTTCATCCTCTTTTCGCTTCTTTAAATAAAATGGTCGTTTATAGTTGGCGGCATAGATTTCCAGCCAGTTATTTTATTGAAAATATTATTCAGGGGAAGAAGATTAAATGTATTTTGCTGGATTGTGGTGTTTCATTAGGACATACCATATAGCAGCATAATAGACTGAGGTATAGACATCAATATTTTATTCTGTCATGTATTTGGAGCACCTTTTTTGGCCATGATAACAATCTTTTTTGATCATTTGGAATCCAATTGTTTGGGATGCATGTCTTCAATTGTTTATGCTATATACTTGGTTACTTTCTGTCTTTCCATCATTGTTGAATTTTGGTGATGTTACTTATTTTAGCGTAGAGCACAAAGCTTCAAGTTTCACAGCTTGTGTGCTGTTTATCTGCCCCTCCCCCCACCCCCCCCCCCCCCCCCCCCCCCCCCCCCCCCCCTCCCCTGGTTACTTTCTGTCTTTCCATCATTGTTGAATTTTGGTGATGTTACTTATTTTAGCGCAGAGCACAAAGCTTCAAGTTTCACAGCTTGTGTGCTGTTTATCTGCCCCTCCCCCCCCCCCCCCCCCCTCTCTCGGAATTGTTTGCACCGAAGAGGAGTCAAACCTTCTTCTACCTTTTTTTCCCCAAGGTTGCTTCTACTGTTTCATGTTGACTATAGATAGTTCTTTTGAAACAAGTTTAGATGTTTATTTTTTATTTTTATTACACACAAGTCAAATTATTTTGTAAAGGATCTTAGAGCTAAACCATGCCCAGTGGGTTTCACTGCTTCATCAAGAACTTGAATAGTTGTAAAGCTTTACCCCACTAAGCTTTGGAGGTCAAAGTATATAACTACTTTCAGCACGGTGATGCATTTGGTTGCAAAGAAGATGGGAGGTAGGCTACATATTTTGTGACCTGTGCAATGCTTTTGTTTTCAAAACCAGGATTTCTATATGTTAATCATGATGCTTCCAACCTTTTGTTTAATAGGGTTTGTAGTATATGAAATTGTGTTTTGACCATAAAATCAAGAACATAACTAACAGACCTACCTTCTAGCAGCTGGTACTTTATGCATTTACTTTTTGTCATTTTCATTTATAATTTTGTGGCGTTATAAGCTAGAGCCTTTTTCGTAAGAGCGACCGGTCTGACTTGTGTGCACAGCTAGTGCCTAGTGATCATTCCAGGTCCTTGATTGTTTATTGTTGCATTTCAGCGTGATAAAATATGATGACAACGGATAGTCATAGAAAGATATATCCTAGACAAGACCTGATGTAGTGACATTATAAAGTGGTTTGGGAAAGGGTTTGCTTTTATAGATAAGTAACTATTTTGTTTAGGGCCTTACGAACTTTTAGTAGCTTTTCTGTAAGATATGATGTTGATAAAAGAAAATTGTGGCATGCTCAGAGAATTATGTACTATACAGCCTATAATATTTATAACATCAATTGAAAAAAGAATGGTAGATCTATTGCCTTTACGAAATGGAACAGTAATTTTGGTGCTATTGTACCACAGTAGTAAAATTACTAGCATGGCTTCTAAATATGTTGTGTTGGCATTAGCGGTTCTGATTTTCCGGCAATCAAAGAGAATTTTTCTTCCACATGAAAGGAACTTGCCCTAAAGTGGCGGTTTAGGAAATGTAGGAAGGCACAATTACAGATTGCATTGGCAGAATATGATCATAATCTTCTATTTTCTAATTTTTTTGTAGATGTTGATACTGAGAAAGGATAAACTTTGAAGGCAAGATTGAAGCAGGATTGTTTACACCAGCAGCTGAAATGTTGCAGAAACTCGACAGAACTAACAGCTGAGTGATCTGACAGTAGAAGGCAAGTTTTGCTCTTTTTGAATATTATACCATAAATTATAAATAAAATAAAATAAAATTAGTTATTATATCATCAATTATAAAAAATTAGAGATCTAGTGTATTGTATAATCACTCTCTTAATATTGGTAACTGAATAAATAAAAAATAAAAATTAGTTTGATAACTTCTGTAAAAATATTAGTGTTGTGTAATAATAATGGCTAGTGGAAAATGGATATACCAACGAAAAAGGTTGTTACTGTTTAAAATCATTAGAACCCCTGAAATTGGATCTCCTTTGTTGAATATTAACTGATCAGATAAAATTATATGTGTTCACACTTATTCAAGTGATGCTTACCAAAAAAACTGGGAAAAAAACAAAAAAAAAAAAATATGAGTCATCTGCATTTCTTCCGAAGTCGAGAAATTCAGTTTATTCAAAAATTAATAATTCTATTAAAACAATGGGTAGGTACTTCTGAGAATGAAAGTTGGCTTCTTATTTTTGCAGTCCAAGTGTGAAATACATAACTGGATTGACCAAATCATTTATTCTTTGTTTTTTTTTATTTAATTTTCAAGTCAACTTTCCACTAGAGAACAGTTTGTCTAATTCTTAAGTGCTCTTTTTCTTCTGTAGAAAGTGAGTGCCACAGCAAGCTAGGTGTTAGTGATGGTCCTGTCTGTCCCTATCGATAGTGCTAATGCGGGACTGCAATTTTTCTTCATTCTCAATCAACTATTCTATGTCCATTTCTAAGGTTTTTGTTTTTTGCATTGCAGGATCTGTGGACTTTATACATCCAGAGACAAAGAATCCGAGGCCTCAGAATCTTCTTTACGGAAAGGCTGTTGGAATCCAATGACTGGTTGTTATCAAAGAATGAGAGAAAAGAGAGAGAATTTGGAGAGGTATTTTGACCATTGCAAGAAGCACTATAAAGAACGCGGGTTGGATGATTAATTCTTAACATGGTTACATGGTGAGCTTAGCATTACTATCATGCGTTTTTTGATAATGACTTAAATCATCTGCGTTCATGAATTTTGAATTATCTGTCATTACTGTTCCTGGTCATTACTGTTCATGTCGCGACAATTTGTCAAATCCATCTTTGACTCTGATTCCCTTTATTCGACAAGGAGGTAGAGGGACATGAAGGTCCCAGGGGGCAAAGAAGATAGTGATGTGATTAGCCTGAATGGAAAATTTTGATCTTAATTTGTGTTAATTAACTATGTGATATTGTCCTGCCAGAATTATCTTATCAGAAGTGTCGATCCCAATAGCAGCAACTGCAATTTTTTTTATTTATTTCAGATGATGAACAAGTTTTACTTTTATTACTAATAGGCACTAGCCTATATGGTATAAGCTCTCCTTTCCCCAAAGCGGAGGTTGAGTGTTCGAGCCCAGTTTGGGCAAAATATATGGTTGGTGTGCTTTTGCTTGCACTTTCGAGGAGAAAAAAAAGGTTTTACTTTTGTTATTGTTATTATTATCTTTAATATGTTTGGTGGCATTGCTTGCATATACTTCTGTACTTGAACCACTACTCTTGCTGGTACATAAACTAGGTTGAAATTCAGGAAAGCCTCACCAACCCTGCCACTCCGACTTGAACCGAGATTGGTGGATTGCTCCTTTTTGCCACTTGGAACCGAAATACTCTAACACTGCTTGATAAGAACAGCGTGTCTACCGGTTTCAGTTGACCGGCTCTCTTCTTGAGAATCCATACATTCTTTATCAGTATAGACTTTGCTAATTACCAGTTACCGAATAGACTTTGCTGCAGCAAATTATCAGATACTTGGTGTTGGTGTGATAGAATTAATCCACTAGACATTGCTAGCTGTGTGTGTGTGTGTGTGTTTTTTTTTATTATTATTATTATTATTATTATTTTTTATTATTTTTTTTATATACCCTTTAACCAGTGTAAAAGATGTCAGGAAGGATTTGTGCTGATAGACGAATAACCGAAAGTTCAAGAATTTGAACTAAACATAATCAGCCCATGTCAAACATCAACTTCTGAAAGATACTTGGGGAGTTGAAACTGTCGTATTGTAGGTGGCATAAATTCATTCAAATACAGTATATTTACTGATATATATATATATGTATATATGTATGGATGTATGTATAAACCAATTTAATATTATAATGATTGCCTGTTGGTATATCCTGAAAATGGGAATAATATTTGGCCTTAACATTGCTAGCTTGATTTAGAAAAATGCTAAAGGAGATCGTGTGTATATATATATATAAATATATATAACCAAATCCAACTAGATCACAACTCACATGAAAACACATTCATATACAAACATTTATATTTGTTTATTTATTACTATTTATAATAGTAATATATTGACCAAACATATCTAGTACTCAGCTCCCTATATAGCATAATTTTTGCTAGGAACACAAATATTCTTCATGGTTTGTGCTTCTGGGTATAGATATAATCAGTATGAGCCACCAGAGTCCTCCTCATCAAGCACTCTTCCTTCTCCACACCTTCACATGCTTCATCAGCCTCAATGCTCTCTGCCCCATTAACCTATACATAATACACACATACATATATATATAATTAGGAATAATTTGTGATTCTTTAATTTTAAAAATAAATAAGTGGATATGATGAATGAAATGGACTTACCCCAATCTGGGGTGTCACCAGAGAAGGCTCGGGACGAGCGGCGGCGCACGTTAGCGCGAAGAAGAGGAGGAGGGCTATCAGGAGCAGGGTGTTGAGCTTAGACATGTTTGTCCAATTGCTTCACCAGAATGTTCTTGTCTGGTTCGGCAGATTGGGATGAGAATGAAGGGAGACTCGGGTGGAAGTGAATTTATAGATGGAGAGGAGAAGAGAGGGATGATCATATGCGCCAAGACTTAGCTGTGCTTGTGGTCGTGTCAAACTATTATTGGTAGAACTACTTAATTCAACTAGCTTTTTCTCATATTCCTTCCTCTTTCGTGAAATTGACCGTGGTTGTTGACACGTGTTTGGACATTTTAGTCTCACCATACTCGTAATAACTAATAACTAATAACCCACTACTGTAATTAGTCTTTTTTAAAATTAAAAAAAAAAAAAGGGAATTGTTAGGTAGAAATAACAATAAAATAAAATTAAAATTTTTATTAATTATTCTACAAAAACACAAAAAAATTTATGAACTTACAATAATGAGTCTCTCTCTCTTACGATAAATTATATACTATTCAAATTATAAAATAATAACTTCTCATAATTTTTCATTAAAAAAATTGCATAATAATGAAATAGACATTCCTTTTATTTGCTTTATTTTCTTTTATTTTTATTTTTTGCTATTAATTTTCATCTAACCAAACGAAATCTAGAAATAAAATTGAATGTACCACAAATTGCTCTCTATTTTCAGAAAGAAATTTCAATACACTTTACTCCATACCCTTGTTTTTTCTCTCTAGCCTTTATTTATAGAAGTGTACATTTGCCCTGAGAACCTCTCTCAGAACCTTCCCCGCTGGGCTCATCTTCAGTGGGCCTTTTATTCGGGCAGTTATGAAAGGAGAACTTCCTCATCACAGTGAGGAAGTTGGGCCTGGAGATGGTTTGAACAAGCATTGGGCGTATCGGGCTATCATGTGGGTGGATTAATGACCCTTCCAAGCTCTGAACCCAATAGATCGGGCCATATATAGGCCAGTGTGATACCCCTCGAATCCGAGATACGGGTTGATCAGGCCCAGGCCCAGGCCCAAACCCGAGGGATATCAAAGAATTAAGGTATTTTAAATCGAACACGGAATACAAAGTGAAATACGAAATAATATAATAAACTGAAAGAAACTAAAAGAAAATCCTTGTATCATAATTAATCAAATCCGATAATCCAAAACTCCATAAGTTTACACCTCGGGAATCCATCCATTGGATCCCTTATTAAAATTCTCAAACCAAAACTGAAATAATAGAAATAAAATCCAAAGCTAACATAGAGAAGATTCATACATAATCGGAGGAATGAATATCTGTATCTACTCTGCACTTCCAAATCCTAACCCTGGAACTGACGAACATCTGAAAAATAAAGAAGTGGGCCAGGCCTACATGCAAGTCCTGATCTACTATAATCCAAACAGTAATCCGATACGCAGATACATCCTAGGACGACTCAATAATATCTAGAGTAGTTCATATATGTATATAGTACACACTATTGGACGCTCGCTAGTCCAGTAGGTCTGTCTCAACCTGAATAAAAGGTAACATGCAAATACGCACCCTAAGGTTGGCATGAGTACCTAGACCTACCAAGGAACAACACCTATGTCCAGTTATCTATCCTAGGCGATATACGCGCCCTAACCATGGTCATGAGACTCAAGCTCATACCATGGCACCATATAATATATATATATATAAAGTCCGTACTCCTCCTAATACAAAATACCATCCATCTGTGTAGTGGTCTAATATATGTATAACATATCCATCCTGAAACCATAGTAGGTTATTCAATTCTCAATTGATATGACACAAGTAGGTGATGGACTTAACCTATATGATTAATCCATACCTTAATCCAAGTTAGGTAGAATTTAGTGTTTGAACTAGTCCATACCTAGTATGTCACTGTCCCATACCGGTACATGCAATCCTCCAGTTAACGCAGTTGATAATATAGTAATTCAATAGTCATCGACTATACTCCAGAATATGCACAAAATAGATTTAACGCATATACATATAACAGACATTCAATATAGAGCCAAAAATCCAATTCCAGTAATGTAAACTGCTATATTAAATTCAAGCATTTGCATCCTCCAACATAATCCATGAATTGATACAGTTAACAGAAATTTAAGTATCAATTATATCCAAGCTAAGTATAGGAACTTTTAGTTAATTCACTATACTTATAATACTATGAAAATATGAATTATATATATAGTTAAATCATATATAACAACATTGCTAAGCTCCAGTATATAAACCTAGCAAATCCTTCAATAAAATCCATGAATTGGTACAATTTAATAACAATTTGAGTACCAATTAAATCCAACCTAAGTATAGTTGAGTTTAATTAAATCACCATACTTAAAACACTGTAAACACATGATTTATATATATCATTAAATCATATATTAAAAACTTTGCAAAGTTCCGAAACATAAACTAGCAAAACAGTGTGCAAATATACCAGTTTTCTTTAACTGTGTGTTACTCCATGATTTAATCAAATTACAGATTAATGCTTTCCATAGTTTTATAAGTCTATTACAGTCCCAAAACACGTTTAGTACAGTTTAGAAGACATGCCAAAACACTATACAGTCCAAATCACGCACCAAAACCTTACAGTATGCAAAACTGGGCAAGAGCATGCTTTAAAAAAAAATTGAGCCTGCTCTTTTATTTGATTGAGCCGGCTCTATGGCTCTAAGAGCCGGCTCTAAGGCTGCCAAGAGCCGGCTCCAACCTTAGGGAGCCGGCTCTAAGGGTTACAGAGCCGGCTTTGTCCCCTTTTAGAGCCTGCTCTCACTCCCTTAGATACCGTCGACCGTTTCTGTGTCTTCTTCTCCAACTCCGGTGATTAACAGAGCCTCTGTGATGTTTTTAAATCTTTATTCTAGGTTCAAACTCAGTCCTAGGTACATATTAAACCACTGATATTCAATGATAACATGCATAGAACATAGGTTTAGAAGCAACGATCACAGAACCTTAGTCTGAAATTTTAAGCAACCCATAACAGATTAATTTGGTGAAATTAAATATTGTCTTAATTACTTATTCAAGGGTTCGTTTAATGTCTCAGACTAATCCTCAAGCATAAATATATATTCACAACAAGAATTTAACACAAGATTTAAAACAATCCGCAACAAGATTTCAGTTAAAACTTTTAAGCAACACTAAAACAGATTAATTCAATGGAACTAAAAACTGATTTAAACATGCATATTAGATGAATCATAACATTCGTTTCATATCTTTTAATCTTTGATTAATCCCTGGAGTCTTAACTAGGCATGCACAGAACACGAATTAACGGGAGAGAGAAGAACAGAGACTTATCTTTGAGAGTTTGAATTAAAATCTCTAACTGTCGTCTCTATCAACTTCGGCAACGTCAACTTGTTGTTATCAACCTCTGCCGCTCCTATTTAAATCCAAAACTCCTCCTTGAATCCCTCCCTTAAATCTCCTAAGGTTCTCTCTGTAAATTACTCAAACTCCCTCTCTGTTTCTCTGCCTTCACAACTCTCTGTATGACTCTATTACGTGAATAGGGTTAACAAATGTGATACCCTCGGATTCCCGAATGTGGGTTGGCCAAGCCCACGCCCGAATACCCGAGGATATCAAAAACAAAATCGGCAATAAACGAACACAGAGTACAAAAGAATAAAAAAGAATAAATACAATGCTGACAGGAAACTAAAATGATAATCTAATAATAAATCTCAGAATATATTTCCATTAATTAATAAACTCTTCTGATACAACTGATCCTCCAAAATACAACTCGGGAATCCATACTGTGTGGACCTCTAGAAAATCCAAACTAAACAAATGACAGCAATAACTGTTTAAATCAGGAAACTGAATCATAAAGGAACTCCTATGTAGCATCGTAAGAATGAAGTAGACTGATCCCCGCTCAGCACGAACAACCTCTACTCCTGACGAACACCTGAAAAATAATGGTGGGTCAGGCCCATAAACAAGTTCCACTCTACTATAGTCCAAGCAGAGATCCGATACACGTATACATCCTAGTCAATCCAACAATAACTACTAATCCGTATATATATATATACACACTAAAGGAACCTCACTAGACTATAGGGTTGTCTCAACCTAAATAGTAGGCAACATGTAAAACTCACATATAGTGAGCATGAGTACCTAGACCTACCAGAGTACACAACTACACTATATTTACCTACACATCCTTGGCGATATACGCACCCTAACCACTGATCCTGAGACTCAAGCTCATATCATGGCACCATACTTATATATATAAAATCTAGTAATCATCCTATTCAGTATAAATTAATCCTCCATAAGTCATTCAAATTGTTCAGCTGACCTGACTTGAATATAAGTAAAACTTAACATTTTAGTTAATCAATTCCCTTATATAATAAATTGCCCCTCCATAAGTCATTCAACTTGTTCAGCTGACCTGACTTGAATATAAGTAGGACTTAACATTTTAGTTAATCCATTCCCTTATATAAAATAGGTAGGATTTAACTGATAAGTTAATCCGTCCCTAGAATGCCAACGTCCCATACCGGTGCATTAAACCACACAATCTAACAATTAATGTAACGATTAAGGAAATACATCAAACAATCCAGAAATAACTATGATAATATGATATCAAGTTATTACAAAATAGGAATGACTTATTATTTATTTAAGCTTCCTATATCATATATCCTACATAAACTGAATCTTATACATATGATGATATTTTATTATACTGTCAAATAAGTATTCTCCATATCCAATTCATCCTACACATTGAATCTCAATTGCTAAAACATATTAAAAGATTAAATTCATTCGTTTGTTTAAAACATTCAAATAGCAAGCATCATTATGATTGAGTCTATTTAAATTTATTTAAACCCAAACCTAGTTCCTATTTAATGTTCAGGAATCCTAAGCATGTTTCTACGTTCCATCATTCCACAGATATGAAAAATACATAATTTAAACATGTAAAAATTCACACCGGAAATCAAATCAAAATCATGCATTTATCAATTCATAACACAAGAACAGATATGAACCAAATTCATAAAGCCTAT